AGTAGCCGTTTATTTGGGATGGGTTATGCTTGCTGCTGCAAACCTCAGAAAGTTCATTGGAACACACTAACGATCTAAGAGCTTTTATACCAGGCTGGTGCGATATGTGTAGTTCCATTCTTTTAGGCAATTCCTATAGTCTATTTTTTTCATTGTGATATAGACACATTATTTTTAAAGAACATATTTTAAAAGATAAAAGAAATCTACAGCTTTCAAAAGATTTAAAAAGGAGGGATTACTGCACCTCAAACACTTCTTGGCTCCCTTAATAACTGCTTATAGAGCCTTAATGTGTATAATTTACATCGCTGATTAAAGAGGTCTAATTTTAAAAAACCTCCCCCTGGATGACAGCCCCTTTATAATTGAATGGCCATTCCCTGAACTTTTTTCAGCTCCATTAATCTCTCTCCAGATACAACAGCCACAGCCTTCCATGTGGGGTGACATCCTTAAGTCTCGAAATGGCACTTTTACAACGTGAGGAAATAGCATTTCATTGGTAGTCCCCGCCCTCCTGCTGAGACAGACCAGTCTTCAGGAACTGCTTGTAAGGATCCTCAGACAGATAAGCCCCTTTATCTGCATCACCACTGCTGACTCAGCAACCAGCAGACGTGTCCTTCTCCCTAAACGACTTACAGACTCCACTGAAGTTTGTCACTAAGACACACAGACACTAAGTATCGCAGAAAATGAAAGCTCGGGTAAGAAGGGAATTTCTCTCTGGCCAATTGATGTGTCCTCAGCACCTAGCACATGGGAGGTGCTCAATAAATACTGTTAAGTGAGTGAATGAATGAGCACAGTTGTCCATTTCTTTTTGCTCAGCAGATAGAAAAACAATTAAGCATGTTTCTTTAAGGGTATCATAGGGAATGTCCACCAGTGGAAAAGTTTAAACACATACCTTCTGCAGTGATAAACATTTCTGCACGAGGGAGGAGGCTGAACCAAAGGACCTCTAGGGTTCCTATCAACTCCTAGACTCTACAACTGGATCAACACCACACTTTAAGAGCCAGTGAATCAGAGAGCAGATCAGCCACAAAAAGCCTGATTCTCAGGTAGAGTAAATTACCATGCTCTGCTTAAAAATGAAAACAATAGCTGTCCTGGGACTTGGATGCAAAAATATTAACTCATCCAAAACATGGACACATCCCTCAGGGAGAAGCACTCTTACTAATCCTCAGTCGTACTCCAGAAACCACAGATGTGCTTCTGGGTCTGCTCAGAGCCACGCTCCAAAACTGTCCGTGGGAAAGTGCAGGAGCCAGGGGATGAGATTAAAACAGAAATAAACAGTATCACACTAAAAACTGGACTTTTTGTTTTCTAGTGAAGAACAAATCCACTTAAGAAACATCTGAATTTAGCATTGAGGTTTAAATGGTTATACTAAATATATAGTTCTCCCTGCTTATCTGGGGGGTTGTGCTCCAAGACTCCCAGTGACTGCCTGAAACTTTGACCAGTACATTCATACCTGTGATAAAGATAAACTTGCAAATTAGGCACAGTAAGAGATTAACAACAATAACAAATAATAACATAGAACAATTATAATAGCATACTGTAATAAGAGTTACATAAATGTGATCTCATAGCATGAATTTCTTTTTCCTTCTTCACAATTTCATGGGTAGAAGATTTGTTCTTATAGTAGATCTTAGCAACATCAGCATAAAATATTTTTTCTTTTTTCTATGAAAAACTTCTACCCTTTCACTGAATGGAAGCACTTTACCACTTCTCTCTGGCATATCTGAGTTGCTGGCATCACTGTTCTTGTGCCTTGGGGCCACTATTAAGTGAAACAAGGGTGACTTGAACAGAAGCACCATGGCACGTCAGCCTGGTAATCCAGATTGCTACTCAGTGACTAAGGGGAAGCAGCATACACAGCCAGGATATGTTGGACAAAGTGGGCCAGAGGGATGATTCACATCCCTGGCTGGACTGAGCAAATGGCTCATCCTCATGCTATTCAGAATGGCGGGCAATTTGAAACGTATGAGTTGCTTATTTCTGGAATTTCCCACTTACTATTTTTGGACGGAGGTGGACCATGGGTGACTAAAACCTCGAAAACTGAAACTGTGGATAAGGGGCGGGGACTACTCTAACCACTTCACAAGACACAAATTATTGCATTTATTATATAAGGACTGTATAGTAAATTTTTTTTGCCTAGTAAAAGGTCCTATTTACCTGGGATATCACACTAAAATGTTCAAATTCAAGAATGTCTAAAGTTAGTCCCGGCCAGGTATCTCAGTTGGTGAGAGCATCCTCCCCATTCCCCAAGGTTGTGGCGTGACCCCAGCCAGGGATCACACAAAAAGCAACCAAGGAATGCACAAATGGGTGGAACCACAACACAATGCTTTTCTGCCTCTCTCTCCTCTCTTTCTCTAAAACCAATACATGATTTTTTAAAGTGTCTAAAATTAAGGGGAAATTATTCTGATCAATCTTTCCTTCAATCTGCACGGGGAAGGAACTTGGTAGGGCAAGGAGATATACTCATGTTTTCTTAAGCAACTCTTTGTAAAAAATGTAATTCTAAAGATGTAACTAGAGAAACTCTCACACATAGACCAACTTTGTGAGTGATTCTTTTCTCCCCACACTCTTCTGCTTTAATCACAGAATCGGTAAGGGCACAGAAGGGGCAGAGGATTCTAACCAAAAGGATGCAGTGTGGACCCGTTGGAGCTGGGTCTGGAGAATCTGCATGTACTGGGCCTGTGTTGAAGACAAACTACGGACACTACACTCGAGACATTTATGGGGCAAAGAACAAAGTGAAACACTCAACAATTCCTTGGAAATGTATGAAAAGGCTTCAACTTTGTAGTCAACTCCTGGTCACCCATACCACAACTCAAAGAAAGAAGTCTTCTGTTTCTAAACTGTAAGTAATTTCATTTTCATTCCAGTGACAGCAGGGAATGTGCAGAGAAAGCACTGACCTCCTCTGTGCACACACTTTTAAATATCTCTATTATTTGAATGAGCGAGGTCCTCCACAAGAATTCTGTGGGATTAAGCTCACATCTGGTTGGCAGACCTAGTGTTGGATATGATTATGGCCACACAACTAAATCTTAAATCCACATACTGTTCCTATTTAACTGACAGATATGAACCAACTAATTTAGAGAAAATGTGCAGCAAATTATTTCTTCCACTTCCCCGTGCCTCAAGAATGCACCAGCAGTAGGTATCACTGAAAAAGACACCCCCCACCCCCCACATAACACTTGCATTCCCAGATGCTCCCCAGTTACCTCAACTAGATGCTGTTGTAGTTCTCTGACTCTGTGCCTTGGAAGTACAGTGGGGGAGGGAGTCATTTAACCAGACAAACTTGACCCCTCCGGACCTCGATTTTCACACACACACACACACACACAGAAAAAAGATTAGCCCAGAGACTACCAATTCATTTAATAACAGCAATCTCTGACCACTAGTTATCAGAAGCATTATTTGTGTGCAAGGAGATCTGAATTCTTAAGAGCATGTCATTAACTATCAGAATTTAAAATGCCTGAACGACCCACAGTTACACTTCGATATGACCACTGAACATTTTCTGACCACGGAGGGCGTCTTTGAAAACACTTCGGCAGAAGAATCACCAAACTGAGTCAGAACACGCCGAGGAATTCTGCGAACTTCCCGGAGCAGAAGGACGGCGGGTGGAGGCAGGGGAGCGTGTGTTTCTGCACGGATTTAGGAGGACGAGCCCGGAGTCTGAGCGCAAAGCTTGCATTTCTAGGGGCTCAGAGCTTCCCGTATTTCCGAAGGACTTCTCTCTCTATCTACAAAATCTCAAGCCACCACCTGCAGCTCCTCAGTTACGGGTAGGAGAAGAAAAGGCAAAGGAAAGGAAGGGGGTAGAACAGGAAAATCCCCAAGCGAAGCGCCCCCGAAGCCGGCGGGGCGAAAGTGGAATTTGAACATCGACAAAGAAATGGGTAAAAAGAAAGAAAGAGGGCTCCGCCTTTCCCACCCAGGTCTACTCCCTTCACTAAAAAGGAAAGGCCGCCGAGGCCCCTTCCCTTTGCCTGGCAACCCGGGATGCGGGGCACCGACTGAAACCACACCCTCCAAGACCGCGGGGTCCACGGCGCGCACCCCAGGAGTCGCTGCCGGTGCCCCGCCCGCAGACGCGGGGCTTGGAGCATCCCACTGCCTTCCTCCCACGCCCCGGGCCGAGGGGCAGCGTATTCTCCAGGCACCCTCCCTTCCTCTTCCTCGCGTCCCCGCCTCCTCAGCCCACCGCCCCCATCCTTCCATCCGCAGAGTATTTTAATACCTCCACCCACCCCGACAAGGGGGCCTTTTGAAAACTTTGTGTGTGTGTGTGTGTGTGTGTGTGTGTGTGTGTGTGTGTGTGTGTGTAGGGCTTTTGTCCACATCCTGGGCAGGGCCGGGTCACCCGCGTGGACGCCTAGGGGTGTCCGGGTTCTCACAATGCACTGGGGAAACCACCACGGAAATCCCACCCCTTTATTTTTGACCCGCTTCTACAACCGAATGACACGCTTCGGCTAACAATTCCCAGGCTCGGTCGCCCCTCCGCGAGGGGGAGCCGGGAGGAAACCCCCTCACCCGGCGCTTTTCTCGAGTGTCACGAGGAAAAAGGTGTGCGCGCAGAGAGTGAAGCTGCCGAGAAACACCTTGGCTAGAAGAATCTTTCTAAATGGAAGATGGGAGAGAGGTCCTTTTTCTCCCACATCCCAGGAATCGGGGTGCACGAGGCGATGCACTGTTGCATCACGCGGCAGCCAAGCCTCGGGGCTCCTCGCCCTCCCCTCAGCCCCAGACGCGCGCCCAAATTCATGCACACACCCACAGGCGCCGCCGCCGCCTCCCGAGCCCCCGCCCGGGCTCCTGGTATTGCAGTCGGCACCCTCCCCAAAGCGGGGACCACCCAGCGCCGGAGGAGTAGCGGGCTAGGGCAAGGAGGCCCCGGCACTCACAGACGGTCTCCCCACGGCCACGGCCATCGCAGCTGCTTCTCTGGCTCCGACTGCGCCCGGGTGCTCTCCGCCAACACTGACTGCTGCTCCGGCTCCCGCTCGCCTCCCCCGCGCCTCGTTCGCGGCTGCGCTCTGCTGGCGCCCGGATCCCGCGCGCTGCCGGCGGCATCTGCTCCCCCCACGCCACCGCCCCTCCTGCTTTATTAGAGCAACATGGCCACCCGCCTGGAAGGGACCATTTGCTTCCCCAGAAAGGGGTGTAAGCCTGCGCGCCGAGGCCGAGGCGGTTGGAGGGAGGATGGTGGGCGGGCCTCTAGCCCGGGTCAGCAGTCGCAAACGGTCAGGTTTGCCCTCCCGGGACGTAACCGTGGGCCCGGAAGGGACCCTCTCCGGTGACACCGAAAGGCCCCCAGCCAATGCGCTAGCCGCCACCCCCTGCTGCACCACGTGCCGGAGTCCTAGTAAAAGCTTGGGCGCCGGGGTCCCAGCCCCGGGTTCTGCCACGCGCTACGCGACACGGGCTGCTGGAGCCGCTGCGGAGAGGGGCGAGGGGTGCAGGGCAAAGCAGGTCCGCGGGGACAGCGTCTTGCGGAGAGTTAGCCCCGGGCAAGCACGCCCCACCCGGAGGAACGGTCGTGGACCAGTGTGTGGGCCACCAGGGAGATCCGTGGGCGACCGAGGTGGGGCTGGGCAGGACCCCACAAAGGAAGAGTTGCTCCTACGGAAGTCTATTCATAAAGGAGATACTTAAAAAGAGGCAGCTGGAAGCTGTCACTGAAGCGTTCGGCCGGGTAGGAGACCACAGTGGGCAGGACGAGGCCGTGGTCGCTGCTGATGTGGACGACCAACCCCCGCCAGTTTGAGCGGAACAAGAGGACTTCCCCGCGGGAGAACGAGCGCAGCTGTGGACTGACCCAGAGCGTAGGGGCCGAGGCCTCCCTGGGTGTAACAAGAGCCCGCCAGTCACACGTGGGGGCTCAGACGACTTTATTTTGTCGCTGGAGACAGACCCAGCGACCCGGAGGCGCGCGCGGGGGTTGCGCCTAGGGGCCTCCACGGCTGCGGCGGCGCCAGGCGGGATGACTGTGGGACTTGGCAGCTCCTCCGCGGGAGGGAAGGATTTTTCCAACAGCCCCTGGGGCGTTACTGCGTGACAGTGTGCGGGGCGCAATGGCAGAGTCCTGTTGCGCTCGGGTGGTACGGCTCCCAGGAGAAGTCCTGATGGCGAGGAGGTGCTGTGGATTCCCGCAGCTCCCCGCAGGGCCCGAGAGGGGCCCCAGGGCAGCAAGGTGGTTGAGGACAGCGTCCGATCGATCGGGGAAGGGGACCTAGTTTTGGGATGGAAGGGCAAGGGTAAGAGGAGGCGAAGGGCGGTGAAGGGCTGTGACCAGCCCACGGGATTGCACCCTGAGGGAAAACCAGGACCTATTGAATTAGGTCAAAGACAAATGCTTCTTTAGACGGGGGCGCCTCAGAGTCTGACCTGAGACTTCCAGCAACCTGGTTTCTCTGGAGCCTCGCGTGTGCCCTTCCTGCCATCTCTGGCCCGGGAGAGAGGGTGGCGGGCGGGGGGGGGACCCCAGTTCGAAAGTGCCACCCCACTTTGGGCTGAGGGTGAGTGATCTCCGGGCGGGAGTCCAGCTGCTGTGAGGCAGAAGCCAGATTGCCCCAGAGGGGTCCAAGGGCTCCATCCAGGCCACCCAGGCTGAATTCCGCCGGCAGGATGCAGGTGGAACCCTCAGGGATGGGAGTATGATGAAAGTACTCTGAGTGAAAGAAAGATGAGAGGCTCCGAATAGGGGCCGTTTCAGTCCGTGGGCGGACCCAGACTTGCAGACACCGAGTAACCTCTTCAGTTTTGTCCAATTTTTGCGCCCTAGTCTTAAAATCTTTTGAAGGCATGCTTTACCATTTTATGTCAAGCATACAGTAAGGGCTCAGTTAAGTGTTGAATTAAGATTACCACATGGACGGTGCGATGCAAAAGGCGGGGGAAGAGAAATACTTCCATCTGCTGCTTTCTGTATACAGACGTGTTCCTTCTCCCATGGGGAGAGGGTCTCTGGTAAACCCTGTGGAAAGACAGCTCCACAGGCTGCTAACCGAATGGAAGGACAATTCCACACCAGCTTTCCGTCCTGTTATGTTACCAGGCCAGACGGCAGGATTCAATCGATTTTTTTGAAATAATAACTTGCTCAAGGTCACCCAGCTAATAATGTGGTTGGCAGGGGTTAGAGTACATGTTGGTCTGACCCCCAGAGCCCACGTTCTTTTTCTTTAAAGATTTTATGCATTTTTAGAGATGGGGGAAGGGAGGGAGAGAGGAAGAGAAACATCAGTTGCCGCTGGCATGCCCCTAGACTGGAACCTTGCACGCAGCCCAGGCATGTACTTACCCTGAGGGGGAATCGAACCAGTAACCTTTCCATTGGAAGGCCAGCATGCAGTCCCCTGAGCCACACCAGTCAGGGCAATCAATTAACTTTTATTTTAATTTACTTTGTAAATGCTTATGTTGAAAACAGCTGATTAGATTCTAAGAGTATGAATTCCCTACCTTTGTGGGTAGGTTAGTTTATTCTCATCACAAAAGCTTAAAGTCATTTATTCCAAGATCTCAACTGTTTGAAGAGACTCTTTTAGGACAAAATCATTACAGTTTACCCAGCTTCTGCCTGAAATTTTCATTGACTAGGAACAATGTCTTAAATTCCCACCTCCCTGACATTTTTGTGCACGTAGGCATAAACATATTGAATAAAAATACAATTTAATTACTATGGGACAAGAAAGGCTATTTCAGAATGTCAGTTTCATTCTGAAGTTATTTAAATATCATTCTACAACCAGCTTTACCAACACACCTATGTGGCCTTGGGCAAATTACTTAACCTTTCAATGCTTCAATTTTTCATCTTTAAAAACAGTTTAATGATAGTTGCTAAGGGATTAGATTACCTTTTTAACTCTTCCCAGCACTGTGCTAGGAACTGAAAAATTTGAAAGGAGGATGCTTCTTCAACTCCTAATCAGTGCACAGCCTGCGGAGAGGCAGATCTTTAAACAATGCTGAGAAATAATTCAAATCCTAGAAGAGATACCTGAATTAAGGGATTTTAAAGCACAGTACAAAAGAGCTATTCACTTTTCCTGTCAGGACAGGAAACCCTTCACCGAGGAGGTAGAACAGGGAAGACATCAAAGGGGACATTCGGAACAAGGGAATACAGGGTGAATGAAGACTCAGCGGTTTCAAGGGCGATGATGCTGTGGGAAGCACAGGTGTTCTGGCATCGTTAGACTGGGAGCCTTGGAGGGAGCTTGGTAGAATGGGGAGAACAGGGCACTTCGGCTCTAGATTGTTACTTACTAGAGATGTGACTTAGTGCAAATTAGCCTTTCTCCATCTCATCTTTTTCTATTGTAAAATAGGGTAGTAACAGTGAGTCATGATGGAGGACATGTTTGTCAGATCCACTCTTCACCTTCCTTTTTTCCCCCCAGGAGCTTGAAAGGGCTCTCTTTCCCTCAGCTGCCATGTGAGTGCAGGCAACGGTGAGCAACCACAGTACAATAAAGAAAGGAGTGCTGGTATTTATGCCCCCAGGCTTCCTAGCCGTGGCACCACTGCAGGCTGGCTGCATTCCTCAGCCAAGGGTCACAGTTCTGCTTCAGGATAACCCAGGGTACACTCCTTGTGGTCTCTCTACATTTATCCCACACCCTTGCAAATAGTCTTTTTATTAAACTCTACTCAAATTATCCGTTAGGAATTTACCATCCCATTCCTGCTAGGACCTTAACAGAGTCAGTCCTTGACAGAATTGTTTTTGCTGAAAGTTAATTGAAAAGTCATAGGTATGCTATTATTATTGTCTAAATTTAAAAACCTTTGAGATTGAAAAAAGAGGGTTGGCATACTAAGACAGTAGGCAAAAACCAGGACCTATGGTCACCATAGCTATTATTACAAGACAAGTTAGGTAATTGACAGGTGATTATACTAATGTACATCCTTTATGAGGCTTTGAGTATTTCAAGGCAAGAGTGCTCCTGTGTGTTTCAGCTTACAGCACAAAGTCTGATATATCAATGGATGTTGAGCTGCATTGGAATAGAAATGAGGCTAGAGACTAGGCTAGAAAAACCTTTATTGTCATGCTAAGGGTTTATAAATTCATTCTGTGGGAAATGAAAAGTCAAAGAGGTCAAACAAAGTGACATATTTGCATTTTGGGAAAGATCTCTAGTGAATACTTGACACTGTTAGTAATACAGGATCTATTCCCTTTTTAATGAAACCTCAATTTATTTGGGGAAATTTCCCAGTGAGTATGTCCACCTTGGAGGAAAGTAAATGCCTCTACAAAAGAGGTTCCTAAAGTTGCTTTTCATCAGATCCTTCGTTTTACCACCAAAATGCATCCAAGAGAGCATGTGATCTAAGCTTGCCCAGACACTGTTAATGTCAGTTTGAACCTTAAGTGACACAAAACCGGTACAAATAGTTAGAGTCTATGCATTCTGTAACTTTTTATTTTCTTTTTTTAGTTTAAATTATCTAGGGTTTCTTTCTGTGGCTTGCACAGAGCCAAATCTAACACAAGATCACCTTGATGCCAGTAAAAATGATGAATGGAAAGGAACACTTTAAGAGACAAGGAGTAAGTTACAAGCTGTTGCCACTTTTGTTTCAGACAATACAAGCACCAACAAATCCTGAGCCCCTCCAGCAACACTATGTATGTAAAAGTGTTCCAACATTTTAAAGCATCTGAATGGAAAGGGAAAGGTAAAACTATCTCAGTTCACAGATGACATGAACATGTATCTAGAAAATTCCCCAAAACTCCATTGAAGAATCATTAGAACTAATAAGGGAGTTTCAACAAGTTTGTACTGATATAAGACCAATATACGAAAATGAGTTGTATTTCTACACAATTGCAATGAACAATCCAAAAATGAAATTAAGAAAACTTTATTTACAATAGCATCAAAAAGAATAAAATCCTAAGGAATAAATGTAACAAGTGTAAAACTTACACCCAAAAATGTTATTGAAAGAAATTTTTAAAAATCTATGTAAATGGAAAAACATTTTGTGTCCATAAATTGGAAATTTTAATATTGTTAAGATGGTAATACTCCTTAAGTTGATTTAAAGATTCATTACA